ATACTGGACGCGTTCTCAGAGGAGCGTAAATTTGAGATCATAGGTCATTAACAACAGATGATGGCACACATGGGTTTTACAGTAAAATCATTAAAGAAATATGACACTTAAGCGTCTTGCTGGTTCCATTAGAAGTGCATTATCATGGAGCTTTGGAAATATCTTGAATTAAGTTCTTTTGACAAACAATTGTTCTGCGGCTGGCCCTCTTATTTCTCGGATTCAATTTTTGATTTGTCCACCTCAGTTCAAAATGATGCTGGAGAGAATGAAAGAGCTAATGTTACTTCTGTTTTTAAAGCTGATGCTAGATGTAGTCGAAAATTATCGATCTATTTCATTACTACCCATTCCGAGTAAATGTCAAGAGAGGATTGTGTATAATGCTGTATATTCGCATGTGGCTCCCTATCTGACAGATTGGCAGCTTGGGTTTGTGAGGGGACGTTCATGTGCTACTCAGTTAGTTCTGTCAGACCATCAATGGTCAAAGACCTTAGATGAGGGTAAACAGGTGGACGTTGTTTACCTGGACTTTAAAAAGGCTTTTGACAGAGTGGCACATAATACCCTGCTGCATAATTGGTGTGATTTTGGTATCTCCGATCCAGTGTGCTTTTGAATTGGTGTAAGGATTATCTCACCGACCGATAACAGAGAGTTGTTATTGAAGGAATGAGTTCCACATGGTGTGCTATTCCATCGGGCGTACGTCAGGGCTCCTTATTGGGCCGTTTGTTCTTTGTAATTTTTATTAGTGATTTGCATGAAGTAGTAATACCTGGGAACTGTCTGTCATTATATGCTGACGACTACAAAACATCCAGGATTATAAACTGTCCAGCTGATCATTCCGTATTTCAGTCAGATCTCAACAATTTATATTCATATAGTCAACAAAACCTCACGGAGTTTAATGGAAGAAATATAAACTAATGCAAATTACTAAAAGGAAAACAATTATTCACTCTGACTTACACTTAAATAATAATATCCTGGAGCTAACATCTAACCAATTGCAGTCTGTCTTGGACACTCATAACGATAGAATATCGAATAAGGCCAACAAGATCCTAGGTCTAATTAATAGAGGGCATAAAAGAATGTTTTTTTTTTTTTCAAACTATCCTTTCCTATCGTCTTAATCATTCTATTATCCACTATAATTGGCGCCCTGCGAGCAGAGCCTCTATTTGCCTTCTTCAGTGAGGAGATAAAAGGAGGCTCTAACAGAATCGCGTTAAGTCTTTGAAGTCGCTGCAGCCCAAACTTCTAGAATCTGGTCTAGTCAAGCAGGTTTTTCGAGTACGACTATCTGTTGATTGATAAACCGATGGTCATAACAGAGCTCGCTAAACCAAGGGAACGGCTATTAGGTCTCTATCCTAGCAACATGCAGCGTATGCTCAACAGAGATCTAACTCGGTCAACTGGGTAAACTGTGAGTTAACAGCTGTTTTCTTTAACTGGCGGTCCCCTCCACCAGAGCATAGGCTCCTTGTCTGGTCGTCCAAATTCATGGAAATGCGAGGGAAATATACTACGAGCGAGCAAAATACGCGAATGCACACGAAAATCGCCACCCGCGAGGGAGAAACTCGCGGAGAGAAGATAGAAAATAAGCTCCTTAAAACAATTTCCGCTTTTCTCCGCGTGACAATTTTCACGCGTGTTTGCTTTTTTCGCCCTCTCAACTATCCTTGATGAGGGATTGCTCGTAGTCTGCAGAGAAAACGTTTCGGCGCAACTGTAAGTGAAGCTATTTAGCTGGAAAAATTCCCCCAATGACATGACTGGAAATCAGGTAAATTCCCATATCCAACTATATAGCCCAACAATTTGGGAAACCGGCAAAAATTCCTTAGACCACAATTTCCCAAAATAACAGAACAAAAAGATTAAAAACCATGTTGTGTGTTTTCTGAAATAATATGCACGGGAGCATGGTTCTTCTTAGTGGGACACCTCAGCAAGATACAATGTGACAGTCAGTAAGTTTTCTTGCTGCTTTTCACATATTTTCAATCCCTCCACAGAGTGATCTGGCCTTACTAAAACTTATTTCACTATTGCGTGAAAACTGTTAATAGGTGACGTTTGCAATGAACAGATAGGAAAGAATTGAGATTACTTCCATAACGTAATAACCTACACATCCATTTTAAATATATCTTGAGTTGAACATAATCAAGTTCTTAAAATATGAATATTAAATATTATGACCTTCGCAAACTACATTGTGTTTTCAATAAGACCAAAAATGTAACTGTAGTCAGTCATTTCGGGATGACAAGTGGTTTACTTTCTAGCCTTGGTCTTAAGGTTAAAGCAACGGACGGTCCCATCATCTGAACATTAGTCTGCACAATGTATTTGTCTCCGGTCGTTGAAAATCTTCTGAGGGTATTTTTGTTGAGCCTCACAACTGCACCAACATCAGCAAGCCGCTTGCGAACATTATCGATTGTCTCATCGTCATCTACCATGGACTCAGGAAGGTCTCCCAACAGATCTATGAAATCTTCATTAGACACAGTCTTTTGCGAAGCTATCGTTGGCGCGAGTAAAGCCTCGGGTAAATCACCCAAGAGATCTAAAAGTTCTTCGTTAGAACCGTCATCAGATGCGACAGAGGGCGGCTTACTTTGGAAATCAGGTTGATCTCCCTCCATGGCTACCTCATTAACATAGATAGCTTCAGTACTGATTACACACTTAGCAGTCTTCTCATTTTCTAGTAAGGCAAGCTTAGAAGATGAAGAGTTTACAGGATCCCACGTTTCAACGATGGCAGGGTAATCAGAAGGTAATGACGTGAAACTACCAACACTGTCTCCTTTTATCTGTGATTTCGATTCGTTTCTAGACCTGTCATAGAGTTTATGTCTAAAGCCAACATTTCCAAGCTTTCGCTTCAGTATTTCATGCAAGCGATGGATTCTCGTTAAGTAGTACTCCTTGATGAAATCACCAAGCTCTGCGTCTGCAAATTTACCGCCCGAAAGTTCCCTGACGCTTTCATAGGAGTCGTTTAGAATCGCCAAAAACATGTTGATGAGGATAAATGTCATGCTAAGCATAAAGCTGATTATGTAAGTTGGACCCAAGATACGGTTACTGTACTGAAGTTCATAAAAATACACTTCATCTCCAAGGAACTTTTGAATAAGGGTGCCCAATGCGTCTATGAATGAATGGTACGATATATTGTCATTCCCGAACACAAGATATCCAAGGAGTGCGAACGAGATCAGGTTAATGAAAAACAGAACAGAATAGGACGCCACGTTAGGCGACGAAATCTTGAGGGAGGCAACCATTTGACAGACGTGTCTGTTGAACCGAATTAGCCGTAGAAATTTTACGGTGACAACGAACACAACTACTGACAATACAAGTAGCTCCAGATCGGACCAGAAGAGGGCGTAGTCAACACTCACTGTCTCGAAAGGGTTCGCTTGTACTCGTTTTACAAACGATGAAATATACTTCTCCTTGAAAAAGAAGAATGCAATTGTTATGATTGCTGAGACAAGTTGAAGCAAATTCATCCAGTTCCAAAATGATACAAAGTACGAGCAGCGTTGGCGATAAATCTTTACAGCCTCGAGTATAAGAAAATAAGCGACTAAAATTAACAGGATAATTTGACAGGCAACGAAGAGAGAACGCAGCCTGGGATCAGAAGTGCCATATATGGAAAGCGTGTGAAAACGTGCACGGGTTTCTGGTTTTCCAGTTGGAATAACTTCGTAAAGAAGCTTTGCCACGCTAAACAAAGACGTCGAAGGCTGAAAAACGGTAAATTCTATCAAGACAGCTGCGGTCTTTTCATCAATCCAATCGTTGCTTTCCAAGTTACGAACAACTCGAGACGCTGTTCGAGAATTGTAGCCGAGATCAGCAATGTATCCTCCACCTTCATACTTAGCATGCTTTCCGGAATATGACAGAGTATCAAGCTCCACTGATGTATTATACCGCCAAGGCTTCGGGCAGAGTCTCAGCAATTCATATACAGAGTGATATTTACTTATATTCGTCACTGGTACCCACCCAGGTAGATTAAAACGTGTATCGTCTTCATTATGTGGTGAATATAGTGGAATGCATCGCCCGAAAATGGCTTCTACCTCCGAGTAAACTTTAGCAGTCTTGCATGCTTTTACTAAAAGAAGAAATGAACAGAAATGAACATGATATTCACGTCTCTACAAGCTTTAGGGACTGTGAATTAGGCTCGTCGAAGAGATTCTACTTAACGGTTGCAAGATAAGCTTAGCTGGATAAGCGCCGTTCTGCCTAGCCTGCGTGCGTGAGGAAACTGGACGTCTGCGCGCAGGCAACGTTCTGTCGAGCGGGAGGCCGCTGGTTCAAACACCAGCTGGAACAATACACAGGTCCTTCAAATGAATGAGGAGAAATTTCTAGTTTTCTGGGATAAGGACGATAAACAGTAGGCCCCTTTTCACAACCTGTGCACGCATAATACATTCTTTGGGACGTTAAAGAACCCACATTGGTTCAAAGGAATACGGGACTTTGTCCACGTAAGGGGGTATTTATAACTCTTTACTTCCCTCCATTACTTGTAAACTGCGCCAAAAGAAGTCGGACAAAAGTCCCCCAACTAGGGTTGTAAATTTTCCCTGAAAGGCCTTGAGTGGAGTAGATAATGAGATATTAACAATTTTACCTGAAAAGCCCTGAGGGGAGCGGAAAATGAGGTATTTACAATTTGCTATTTACATGTACGCTTCGGCAGCAAAAAGGTACAATGCGATAATATTGGATTTTTTTTTCTGCTAGAGACACTGGAGAAAGTCTATCATTGCGACGAGGCTTTGTGATCAAGAAGCGAGTTTTCATGGCCTATCCGTTATCTATCAGTGTCTGTGTTAATTACCTAACTATCTCTTACTAAACCCTACCTTCTTTAATTCTAGTTTGCTTGAATCTAGGCATGCCCACCAAGAATGCTTCTCGAGTGCTTAGAAATCCCTCCGGAGCAACAAAACTTTGGTCATTATACCACGTAGTGTCATAAATGCCAGGAATGAATGACTCCTCGATCCAACCCCAGAATGCATCTGTAGAATCAACCTTGAAGACAAAAGCCACAAATATTCCCTGAAAATTAATACTTTTTTGGTGGCCGATAAAAGAGGCATCGGCAAACTTTCAGAAAATTTCTTCAATTTCAGCTTGTAGCTGAGTCGCTGCAATTTTAGTCTCGTCCTTGATTTTTTTATTTCCACATCCATACCTAGTTCAACAAGGGTTGCTTCGGCAACTGGTCATTAGCAATCTGGCATTGGGCATTTGGGCAACGGAAATAACTGCAATGCTTTGTTTTAGCGACCACCAACAAGACCTTCCCAGTGTGCAATTCTCAATGCCTGAAGCAATCGTTTTGGAATACTTCTCCCACCCTTTCAGTTCCATTCCACGCTTTTTGCCACTTCTACTCTAGCATAGTGAAAATATCACCGTCACACTATTAATTATAAGGAGCTTTATCAAACATTTCTAGGGACCTTCACCTCTTCAAATGACTCCTTAAAAATGTTCTCGAGACTGGCTGTTAGTCGGTAACGACTGTATCCTCGATTACCATACACTACCAGAAAGAGACAAATAACAAACACTAAAAACATCACGATCTCAGCAAGAGTACTGACGGTCTCTACAACGCTTTCCCTCGTTTTCCTTGCTGTGGTGAGTTCGTTTCCCTTCGGGGCTATAACTTTAATGCTTTGGTCATCGCTTAAAGTGGAATCATGAAAAGATTGTGCGGTCTTTTCCTCGGGTGGTTTCTTGAGGATCAGTGCAAGAAATAAAGCCAAAGCGATAACTTTTATTGGCTGCATGACTGCTATATCTTGGATAACAGAGATCAAAGCGGACGTAAGCCATTGGTTAGCTATTTCTTTTCCCCAATGAACGCTATAGAATATGATGAATGTCCCTGCTGCAAGCGAAGAAAGAATGCAAAGTGACCAGGCAATATATACAAAGAAATGTGGAAGACACCCAGGGCGTTTGTTTAAATTAGTATTGTAAGAACTAGTAACAACTGAGCCTTCATTTTTCCCATAACGTGATGTCCGTTCTTGGTCGTTTGAAACCTTGATGTTTCGAAATATAGTTGCAATCATTAAGTTTAAAGGAACAACGATCAAAGCACTTTGGACGCCTATGACAAGCTGGTTTAAACTGAATCTGAGTGGACCAAACTTGTGCGTGTCCTCTTGTTTTTCACCAAACTGGTAAAACATTGCCCCTGTGAGCATCGCAGTTAACAACACGCAGACACAGCATGAAAGTCTCTGTGCACGTGTAAATGGGCTATGAGGTGGCCTGGTCACAACAGAAAGCCACAAATGGCTATCGCTTAAACTCTTTGACGCCCGAGTGAAGAACTTGTACTTGAACTTGGAGAGATCTCTTTCACTTGCGAGTGGTATGTCAGCTTCGACCTCCCCGTCCTCTTTATCAACTGCAAGCCACCGATTGCAAAGAAAATACCATTTTTCTTCTGATTCCAGGTCCCTTATTACAACTTGACTGATGTACCAGGATGGGTTATTACCGGAGTTGTCGTGCCAAATTTTGATCATGATCGGAGACAGCAGATTATCTGGTAGAGAAATCAAAAAGTTATTGATGCTTGCTCTAGCAAACAGTTTTTTGTCGGTATATCTGTCGAATAGATGTAGAGTTTCGCTGCGAGTTTCCTCCCCGTATATGATCATAGCGACGTTGGCTGATGTACCGGATCCTCTCCATATACCAGTATACACTGATAACTCAAACATGCGTCCCCCTTCCATTTGAAGGCGAAGATTTTCAACTGCCTGTCAAAAGAACACAAAAAGAATAACAGTGATTAGTCAGAAGTTACCCGAATACCGGGTATGTTTTGGAAAGTTCTCTGATCTTTGGAAACATACCCGTGGAATCTAATCGAATGTGATAAGTAGGGAAGGTGGACAAATCACTTGCCTTATATGCATCCTTTTCGTCAGCTCGTCTGGCAATAAGGAGCCCAATAAACCACAAACCAAAGATGGACAACACGGTCGCTAAGACAACCACGTTTCCAGAATCGAAGATGTTAGGAAACTGTTTAAACACGTAATCGAAGTCTATTGGGTTTGGAGCCACAAGAAAGTTTCCACCAAACGAGGATAAGTGGTTACACAGACAATGTAAAGCTCTGGGGCTAGAGTCTGGTCCAACCTAGTTTCAAACAAAACAATCAAGGAGTTAAAGATTACAGCAAGAATGGGTTTTTATTAAACATCCCATTTTACTGTCAGTGGTTTTGTACTACCTAAGTGGCGATAGAAAATTACCTGGATCTAAATTGTCGACCATTTGTAAGTATTCAGCTCTGTTATTCTTTCCCACAACCATTAAGGCTTGGGCTGTACGGGTTTCTTTAAAATATGCTCTATGCTTTTTAATGCCTCAGATAATTCTCGTGTTAAATTAATTTTCATCCGACATTTACCAGGGTAATATTTTAAGAATTTAGTTATGAAATAAGCCTTGACTTTGCTATCAAATAAGACCTGTATGACCTACCTTACATCCCTCCGTGGTCCACGCTTGCGCAGTAACATTCCAATACTGACATGTCGCCATGCTCACTTGTAAAGTGTAATTTACATCCGTACTTGCGTTGTATGGTTGCGTTATTACCAAAACTGGGGGAGGAGTGGTTGGGGGATCCTTCACACCTACACAGGATCTCTTTTGACGACCATTATGCGAGCAGTCTCGCCTTACGCGCTTCATTTGACCTCGTGAGCTGCTATTGCTTTTTTCTTGATTGGAAAGTCTTTCACTGGCTACACCCAGGTAGTGCGGCCCTGTATGTCCCGTTGTAGCAGAGGAGACAGTCACCGTAAAAATGTCAGAAGTGCAGTTTGTATAGCCTTTCTCCAAGGAATAATTGCAAGAGCTGTAGTCTGGAACAGTCGCTGTAAAACTGTAATTCGTGAGCGTCGGTCTCTGCGCGTACCGTAAATATAGCTTAAGGGTTTCATTACCTATAGGAACAATTCTGATGGAGATAGCATACTCGGCTCCTGGAAACTCCAACTTGTGGAGCTGCATCGTTCCGTTGTTGCTTGGCTTTACGAAGTATTCCTTCACTTTTTCTACATTTTGGTTAGGTGGAGACAGAAAAAGTTCCACTTCCTGCTCGAGGTTGTAGATATTGATTCTGTGGCCATTTTCGTCTTTCAGTTCAAAGTCAAGAACAACAGATTTGATGTCACTGGCACTATTGTCCCAAGTGTAAGGGTTGCTTTTAAATGTCACTAACTGAAGATTGATAAAAATAATAAAGCAATAGGTTACTTGAAAGAGTACTCCACCTTTACTCAGCCTCATTCAGCTCTCTACTATTGGATTTTGTTGTTCAATTGCAAACTCATTGTTTTTTTTTTTTGGTTTTGTATTGTTAGGTCCTCTGTATTGTTCTACTGACAACCCTGCTGTGTTTTCGGTTGTCAAGACATCAGTTCTATCATCTTATCTGTTACATGTATTGCCTGTTCTCAATTCTATTATGTACGTTATGCTGTTTTAATTCCCTTGAATTAAATGATGGGAACTTGGGAAAATATTGGATTTGGGGGTTGTTAAAGATTATTAAAATATGAAGTAAATAATTAGTAGACAATTACCAAATGGTCCACCACCACAACAAGGTGCCTCTGATCCAACTACCGGACTCACTGGTTTGTGTGTATACCATTTCTACCCTAATTTATTTCCTTCCTAAATCAACATCATTTCCTCAAAAAACCAACCGTAATTCCCCCTTAAGTCAAAAAAATTGAGTACAGCATGGTTACGCTACATGGATTATTTCGAAAAATTTAATCTTTGAAAATTTTTTGGGAAGACTTACCTGACTTGATAGATACTGCCCGAGATTTCCATCGTCTCCTACTAGCTGTTCAATAGACGGTATGACAACTTTCGAGCTCTCGTCCTCCAAAGCCTTGCCGCCAATTCTAGAGGGAATTTGACGATCAACAACCATGGACAGGGTCCGGGTCTTAAGAACGCTTGGTTTTTCATAGAGTTCTTTTATAGCCTCCACATTGCTGCCAACGCGATTCACAAGGTCCAGGATTTGTGTTGAATATGATTTACTCTAGAGATTTAAACAATACTATATTATATAGACTGTAAGTAAGAAATAAATACATTTACCCAAGACTTCGCATAGTTTTCTCGGAAATACAGTATTTAGTAATAAGGCAAAGAACGTATGCGTCGAAATCTCCGTCATATTTATGTCCGATGATTATTTTGTGTTTGATTCCAAGGGGTTGTTTCACTTTGGAAATTGGTAACCTAGAAAGAGCAGCATTTCACCAAATGTCAAGTGATCGCTTCGGGCCTGTACCACTGAATTTTTAAATCCTTTATTTTGATGTCTATCGATTATAACTGACGATGGTTCTTGAATAGTGTATTTTTACCTTTTCTCTTCTCGCAGGGGTACTGACAAACAATGATTCTTCATCCACGCTGTTGCCATCCCTTGCCTCGTGAGAAGTAATATCCAACAAGTTCCCCAGTCCATTCAGTAAAGCGGTCCCAGTTTGTTCTATGAGCTCCTCCTCTCCGTGTTTCGATTTTCCTGTTTCCTGGGTCATAAATGTGGTCATGTAGTCCAACATTATAATTGTTTTTTCCTAATGTGGAAAAGGGAAAAGCATTAATTTTGTTTCCAGAGTTCTGATACCTTGGATTGGTGTACCCCTGCACAAGGAATGTGTCAAGGTACAGCCATGTATATTCTTACCTAAAGAAACCCACATGCCAATTTTGTGTAGATATAACGAACAGTGAAACAAAGGTAGGGGGAAACATTTTGTTACGTGGCACAAATTGCAGTTTGTCGAGTCTTTCTAAATATACAATACAAAATAATAACGCCGAATACAGCATAATAGATCTTACACCTCTTTCATCTCATGATATTCCTTATTAATTTTGCCCTGAAATGTATGTGGATTGTGATTCTCTCTTTTCCTTGTAAATTTACCTGGGAATCAATTGAGACTTCATTTCTTCTGTCCGCCACACTGGCAACAACCGCTGACACTTGCGATACTTCTTGTAGGCTGGAAACGTTAACCGTCGACCATGAATTGACAATTGAATCCTTGATCTAAGGAAATAAAAGCAATTATAGTAGCGGAGCTCTGGCGCGCGAAGCGCGCCTGCGGAGCACCATGGCTAAGTAAATCTACCCATCCCAGAAAATTTTGAAATCACGTGACCGTACACCGCCCGCCCGCTGCCCGTCCGTCCGCACCACAGGAAAACCAATGTTCAATCCCACACTTTCTAGCTAGTTTGGGAGCACAGGAAGACTGATATTGCACACATATTGCACACCAGTGTTGTGATCAATTGACAGCTGTCAAAACAGGGTATCCGCTGACCAGTATCAGCTGACCGTATCGCGGGCTCAGGTGTCGACCCATCAAGGTTGATTATTTTTGAAGTTATCCGCTGACAAATTTCTAGTTTTCAAATGATTGCAGGCTCAAGTTTAATTTTTTAAATTCATATGGAATATGTTGTGTTTTATATGTGCCGCACAATTAAAATTTTGATTTCAAACTGACCTCGGAAGCTAAGATTCAGCCAGTTTTTACAAGCAGGGAAGACATGCCAGTTGCTTTTGACTTTTCTCACCAAGGTCACGCGTTGGTCACGCCCTACGTCCAATTTTTATGCTCTGATTGGTCAAAATTTGACAGGTGAGTTCATGCGGAAAATTTATGCAGCATCTTGAAACTTGTTTACTTTGAGTTTTGTGTCAACTTGTGATGTTGTTAACTGTCTTTTTCCACTGAACATTGTACAAAATGAAATTCAGCTGCTATCAAGAGTCTTCTGTTATTCATGGCCAATTTGTTTATCGGGTTTTTGGCTGAGAAATACGTCGCTTGTCAAAGTCGGAAATCCGATTTCGGATAGCATCGTTTTCGTTTTTCACCTTGCTTGATGGGTAAGAGGGTTAAAAAGTCTGAAGCCATTTTTGCCTTACTTGATAGTTTTCAGTGCATCTCGAATGGTAAGCCTGAATAATTATTTTATTTGATGTTTGTTTTTTATATCTTATTCAATGAAGTCGAGTGTAGTTTATGGGGCTATTTAGTTTATGCACGTTTGTAAGATTTGAGACAATGATCTGACCGAGTATCAGGTTTGATAAGCTTGTAGAACTTTAAAAAGCCTTCAGATATTTTCTCACAGCAAATAGAAAGAAAACGTTCCAAAGTTATAATTCTGGCTGTAAAAGAAAGCTTTGAGCGATTTTCTTGCCTCGAGTTCATCTTTGAAAAAAGCAAACACCGGGACGCCGGCTTAAAACATAAACAATAAACAAGGATTTTCAGAGACACTTTAATACTTGTCTTCGTGAATGAAAATTGTTGTCTCTGTATATGTTTCACCGAATTATTTTCCTGTTATTATTGATTGTTAGTAGTCTCTTTGAAATTTTAATAGCTGTGCCGTTTGTTTTCAGTCGCTTATGAAAATCGCTTGCAGGAGTCGTCAAAATGCCACGCGTATCAAACGCTTTGGAAGATTACATATCGTTATAAAACCATTAGATAAAAAATAAACATAATAAATTCTTTATTATGTTGACGCGTATAACTCTATTAATCTTAATTTAAACAGTCGACTTTGGCGCTTGTCAAAAGTGAGAACACGCCGGCATTTTTTAACGGTTTCTGTCCGAGGTCTGTATGATAAAAAGAGCGCCTCATGGTACTGTTTCACCTCAGATGTGATGTATAAAAAGTATAAAAGGTTGGTTTACACGTCCCCAGACTTGTTGGCAAGATTTCGTAAAGTAAACTTGTCGAACGCAAAAAATTCGGCCTGATTTGTTTTCCAGGCGTAATCTACTGTGATCAAGAGCCATTATGGCTATGCTATTTTTAGGGTGTACATATAAGGCTATCAACTCGATGAAAGATTAAGTTCACTCTCTGCCCTACATAGGATAAATTCATAGGAGCTCATTCTCTCTTGATATTCACAATGAAGGTTGCTCGAGTTATTGACAGTAAAATTACACCGGGTTAGAGATACACTTATGAAGGGAGAGCAGAGGTAACCACCTTTAGATCGCGTTCGAGTGATCCTTTTCAGAGATAAGAATACAGTCTAGACTATTCAGGAATTAATCTTTTATCGAAAACAAGAATGTTTTGGGGATCGAATAATATACTTTAGTAAAATCCATCTAGTGGTCTATTATCAACGCGGCGTTCTGATTAGTTGAGCTACTACTAGGCTATATGTTATAGCCCCCTATTAGCGAAAACCGCGGGCTTTTGGGGGCAAAAAAAGCTTAAAGTCTAGCTTTTAACCAGCTAAAAATTTTTAATTCTCGATATTTTTAACCAACTAGTTGAATTATACTAGAACANCTGACTTTCCTTTTCCTGACAGGCGCATGACGCTCCAGGACTGCCAAAAATTTCTCATTAAAATGTTCTACTTTTTCACTAGCATCATCAATCAAAGCATTTTCATACCATGGGACTTGGGCAAGATCATTCACAAAGCTCTCAGAGTTGTAATTCTTATAACTTCTAGATATAACATAAGTAGGCAGTGGTTTCGGCGCCTTGAAATTCAGTACCGCATAAACCAGATAATGATCGCTAATGTGTGTTTCAACCACACCACTATCGGTAACTAAGGCTGAATTGGAAGTCATGATGACATCAATCAAAGACTCGGATGTTGGAGTCACCCTAGGAATAAGACAATTTTGGGCTCCAGGAATAATTGTTAATTATTCAGTTGACTTGTTTATAAATAAGCTTAAAACTAAATTTAATAATCTTTTTTTACAGAATGATTTTAAATACGAAAAGCTCACAACTCCTTTTGAAGAAATTTCCCCGCAAGAGCTAAACAAATGCCTTCAAAAGTTTAATTTAAGTATACCCTAAAACAATTATTCACCTCAGTGTCGGTGAATAATTGTTATATATACTAAAACAGTGAGACAATTAAGCACAAAAATGATGATTTTTAACTCATTTACGGTTGCCAACGTTGACAATTTTGGCGCGCAATAACCGAACAGCCGCGGCCGTCGACTTTTCTTGCCGACAAATAAAACTTTTGAAGGCATTTGTTTAGCTCTTGCAGGAAAATTTCTTCAAAAGGAGTTGTGATTTGTTTTTGTAATTAAAATCATTCTGTAAAAAAGATTATTAAATTTAGTTTTAAGCTTATTTATGAACAAGTCAACTAAATAAAATAACGCAAGACTTAAGCTTAATTTGCATTTGTAAACAAAAAACTTTTTTCACCGGTTTCATCGATAAATTCAAGTCAAAAAGACAAAGCTTTACCTGTTAAAACTTCCAAACCGAACTTCGTCACCTTCTTCGTGTTTTTCAGGAACAGCTTGCTTGATTAGTTGTGAAATTTCTTTGTTTGTTACGGCAGCAAACCGGGAAGGCATTTTGCTCGCAGCTTACGCGAGTTTGGAGTCGCTCGCTCGGAGGAACTGGAGGTGAATCAGTGAATAGTGCAGGATATTCACTGATTGAGTAGCCAATCAGAGCGCGCCAAAAACACTATCCACCTGTTTCAGTAGGCTAAAACGGATTATTCCTTGTATTTCTTTTCTAGATTAACCCAAGAGCAATAATGGCTGATAAACGCCAGTCAATCGGACGCCATCTTGCAGACCAATACAATGAAACGCCGATAATGCGACCATGCCACCGTTGGGCCATAAAAGCCTGGTCGTTGTATAACTAGGCGGTCGTATAAAACGGGGTGGTCTTAAGGAGGGACTCCATTGTGTAATAATAATTTATTTGGAATCATACACGCGATTGAGAAAGCCTAATCTTACCATAATTTTATCGCGGAGTCTGAGCTCTTTTTGCTGAGCATGATTCACAACTGATAAAACAGCAGTAGCCCTTTGAGCCGCCATCTCGATGTTGTTGTCCTTCAGGTATTGGTTCATTGGTCCTTCCAATGATACGTCATCCTCCAGCGTTTGAATTGTCACCACTGGCTCAGTAACCTTATGAGAGGTAAAGTTGGTCAGCAAACAGTCATCCATTTAAGTCATCAACATACTTTGAGATATTAAAACGACTTTTTAAAAACAGAAATGGTGGTATAATTAGATAGCCTTTTTGTCCCCATAATAATTTGCCCTTTATGTCTCTTTTCAAGAAAAAACTTCTTTGTCATCTCTCAAAGCGAAACGCGCAACTCCTAATATTCGAACCCGTCCCAATGTTCCTCATACTTACCCTTACACTAATCCAAATGTCAACTGAAGATCCCAGTGTATCAATAACAAGAACGCACACTTGAAGTTTATAATTCTCACTTGGATCCCCAACTGGCAACTTCCCTGTAGCCTCATGGGAAGTACCCGACATGAAAACCATTTCAATGCCATCACTGCTGTTATAGCGAAATTTATATGTCAGCGGTAAATCCACGTCATGCCAGCCAGTGCATGTAAACACAAAATTTGTTTCCCATGCTTTTCCCTCAGGTTTATCAACTTTGCATGTCCCTCCTGTCGGGGGAGTATTTGTAACGAAAGAGAATGTTGCAGAAGAACTGTGTCCTTTAGAAGTCACTCCTGTCACTGTAACAAGGTAGGTGGAGTTTCCACGTAATTTTCCCTGCCTTGTTACCAAGTTGGGAGAATTTCCGTACGTAAGTATTAGGTCATCAAGGTTGGTCACTTCCTGCCAGTCCTGGTTATGTGTGTTGCGAAGTTTCATTGTCCAAGTGTAAACAGAGAGTTGATGACACAGCAAGCCTGTACAATTAGTTTCCAGGATGAGCCGAGATGACAGGATAACATGACCTTGGCAATTTTGAACACAGCTGTGTACAACAAAGTAAACACTTTTATTACAATAATATCAATTATAAAGTAACATAAATAACGTAACACAGATTATATACTTCACCAAGTGAATCTGGTAAATTGTAAGCCATAATGAAACGCAAGCGTTTAAATCTGATTGTAAATTGGAAATTAATGGGTTGAAAAAGGGATTAGCTGAAGAATCTAGCAGTGCATGACAGTTCCTGTGACAAAGATTAATGTTTTACACTAAACGATGACGGCGACGCTTACACCGACATTGTTAACAGAGAATGGAAGCTACTATTCGTCCTAAAGCGTTTCTACTCTAAATAAATATAAATGAGAAAGCAAAGCTTTCTTATTTCTTAAATCACTATGCATAATTTTTATTAGCAGTCCTCTTTCACAGTCCATTTTTCGCCAGTATGGACGCCATTAAAAGAAAGTCACAAATAGAAGGAACAGGGATTATTTTTTGGAGATAAAAGGAACTCGTGGTGAAATTCGCTTTAATAAATACTGCTTATGCTACTTACAATATCTGCAAGTGGATCTCCTCTTTAAGTCGAAGATGATGAGCAGTGGTGATTGTAAGTCCCCTCTTAGTCATGACCAGCACTATAATGTAACCTTGATCTCCCTTCATCTTATCGATATCAAGATCAACAATGTACGGAGCTACAGGACTTGATTCAAGCTTTCCTACCCCGGTGCCATAGCAGCCACCTTGGTCAGGTGAAACTTTAGTTGACCCGGAAGAAGGACGGACGACTGGAAGTGAGGCAGTGTCATTAGGAAACAGCTCATAATCTCTTATACAGAGCCAAGTGAAAATTATCCCCGTGTAATCTCCTTTCCCTACATCCGGATCATGTGACTGTGAGCCATTAAGGGTGACTATTTTATTAATACCTTGAGATGCTTGGGTGGCACCAGTTATGTTAGCAATTAACGCTGTGGATGTCACTTCTACATAACCAAAGCTATTAACCCTGGTTTCGTCCTTTCCTTCAATGGATCCCGTAAGCTTGATGTAGTAAAGTTCGTAATCGAAACTCTTACCAATAATGGTTTCATTTAAGTCCCCTACAGTGGTGCCTATTCTGTACACTTTTCTTTGATACGATCCAGAATTAGAGTCAATGCTGTACATTTCAATGTTATATATTACTCGAATAACACCGGAAACCCTACAATCGACTTCGAAATCCACTTGAAATTTGAAATTTTCTGATCTTTTCATTTTAGTTGGTTTTGCAAATTCCTTGGAAAGTGACATCGTAATGTTGGGAGGACTGCAAGAGGGATTGCCTACAAAATAAGAAAGTGTCAATGACGAACATTGGTAATAGCATAAGTCTAGAATAAGTGTCTTCTTTGGTGCGTCCAGTCGCAAATTTTCCAAATTCTTAATTCAAGACAGGGATCACGTAGTTGATGTATCTAAAAACATAGATAAAGCAAGGAAGAATGAGGAAGAATGGTTTTGAGTCTAAAGAACCTTCTGACTTTCATGCTGATTTGTAACTTTTAAACTGTTTCGATGTTTTAGAAATGGGAAATTCTTCTGATTTCTCTGAAAGGGAGAAATCATGGCTGTGTAAAGAACAATATTCTATGCCTACCTCTGTTTTCAAAAGACTTGGACGTCTTATCAAAAAAGCCCACATGAGTCTTAAGTCTCTGAGTGATAACACTAATTATGTGATTTGTGCTGTTCCTCGTAGTACTGAGCAGGATTTCAGCCGTCACTGAACGTGTGCCTGATGGACTGGTACGAAACAATAACAATAAAAACACGAACTAAAATGCAAAATATCTCAGTCGAAGGAATAATGGTTACAAAAAGCCGCTTCCACGCAAAAGATGATAAATCCTAGCTATAGCATACCCATTAACTCTTACTATCAGCAACCCACTCAATCTCCATAGCCTTACCGTTGACGCAAAAAGAACACCAATTATAAACACAAAATTGCAAGGAAGACATTGTACCACACTTTTAATAGCTGCCTCTAGGGGGCAACACAATTTTGTACAATTTGTCAGTTTCTCCTTCCCACAAACCCATATCATTTATGTGGTTAAAACTTGTTAACACATCAAGCATGGCATACATACCTGAACATCCTTAAAGCGGAACCAAAGAAATGACCTTTTTCTGTAATCAGCATGTTGTCTATCTGTTCACAGAAATAACATGCAGGAAGTTTACGAGCCAAAGAATGGAATTTGGGTAGATTTTATAGGAGTGCCTCAGCTTAACTGACCATGCAACGGGAAAACAAAGGAATAAGTATACAGTTAACTGAAAAAGAATGACTGTGGCATTTTTTAAATGCATTAACGGTCCGACCAATGTTGATGTTAATAATACTGGTATTGACAAAAGCGATTCAGGTACTATTTCTTGCCAAAACACCGATCGGTCACAAACAACATTAACCGGACTGCTAGATGGAGAAAGTTTGTTCCACTAACACGAGGGTAGTACAGGGTGTCCCAAAAGTTCGTTCCTCTAATTTCATGCGCTATAACTTTTGATCAAAGCTTTATTCAGGCATGAAATTTCTAAAAAATGTTTATTGCTTTATCGAGTACATGTCTTCAGAACTTCAGTAACCAGCATTCCGCTTTTGTTTTTTTAACACATTCTGTAGCCGTTGCGGCATGGAGTGGGATATAGCATATAGAGCCACATATAATCTATTTTGAGCCTTTTTATCACCTGGTACGCGGGAGCCACTTCGCCACTTCGACCCCCCAAACAACATTTTTTTAGTTTAGGCAGCTGAAAAAAATAGACTTTGAGCATTCATCCAAAAAAGGATAATCATCCCAGCCCCTATCCAGAGTAACGCTTTTGTTCATCTTTACAAATTTGAGACTAGCTGATCGTGTTTGGCAGACAAAGCAGAGGTTTTGTTGTCATCTCTGGGGCCTCTAGCCTTCGCTTTTCATGAAACTGCTCTGGAATTGGCTTGCTAACTATCGTGAGAGCTATCTCACTGAGTAGTCTCTTTTATATCTAACCTTCTTCAAAACTATTTTAGCCGTTTTATTCAGGACTATCAGTCTTCCCCTTCTTTTTTTGTCTTCAAAACCTTCATTTCTCGATGAACATTTCACTAACCCGACAATCGGATTTTTCCAGTTTTTTAGCAGTTATTTCTACTGATAAGCCAGTAAATCGAAGTAAACATGCTTATGCTCTCATGTAGCTGAACGTTTTTGCGTTTAGAGGGTTTTTTCTTTCATGATATTCACAAAACACAAGGAACAATTTTGAGCAAATTGGGCTACAGAATACGAAAAATATGTGGCGGGAAAATGTACTCGCGCACGCGCACCTTTGGCGCGAAGTACACAAATCGAATATTAGCGTCACAAGATGGCACGCCAAGTATAAAATATTAAATTATATAATGAAACACAACTTTTGTTTCAGCGATTTGCTTACCAAGTCCAATCGGACTACATTACAGTCTTATAAAGTAGAGGAACGAACTTTTGGGACACCCTGTAGTGGAGGTTCTTATATCAATGTTCTGTGATTAAGATCATTCTTACTCATACCGCATCGAGGACCTCCTTTTCTGTATTTTGATACTGAGTGGAACTTTGATTTGCAAGAGGAAAGGTGAATGTCATGTTCTTCAGGTTTAGCCACACAACCAGGAAGAATCCAGTTTCTGCAAAACCAAGAAGCAGAAGCAGATTTTGTTAATTAAACGTAAGAGGAACAGATTGGAAATTTGAAGCAGATGTCACATTTTTAGCTGGTAGCCCACGCCCATAAAACGGCGATGAAAAAGGATGAAAAGTGAGGTTCCACATAGACCAGAGGAGAACCCAATAACCCCATTTCTCCAATATGGGGTTGGGAATCATTTACTTGAAGTTCAAAATAATTCAAAATAAAAACGTGATTGTTACATCGTACTGGCAAATGTATGATTATAACGCTCACCTTTCTCACACCGTGATCCTGCAAACTTAACAGGACATCTGCACGTAAAACCATTCACAAGGTCTGTGCATGTACCACCATTACGACATGGATTGTTGAAACATTCATTAATTTCTGCAAGGCAACACGGAAAGATACCTACTGAACATATACCGCGTTCACCGAAATCAACAGACAAGCCCAAGCTTTGAACGATCCCTACATAAGGACAACCCTCATGAACCTTGCATTCGATCCGTGAGTAAATGTAGTGGTCAGAGGGTAAAGAAGATTTGATGAGCTACTTCGGCTAAAATAAGACGTAAACGTTTTCGAAGGGGTTTCAGAGATGGTAATTGTTTGGCCCTGAGTATCCGTATCGTCGGCTGATAGATATTTATTTCATTTTATTTCATTTCATTTTATTTTTTCCATACCATTATAAATAGTACAAGATAAATCAGAGTCAAACGTTAGAACTTGAGTCATAAAATGTTTAATATGTGATAAAGTACAGTTAAGATCATTACCTCAGAGACGTTTGTCACAAAAAGAAGAAAGAATGAAGAATGGAAAGGAGGGGGCCACATCTACAACGTTGTCTGAAAATGGGTTTAAAATAAAAATACAGACTTATACTATTTTCCGTGTTCTCAAATTGTTCCTTTTTTCATATAACTGCCCAAAAGTCCATGTCTATACTTTCTGCTTAAATTATGCGTTATTTTGGAAGGTTTTATCACTGCAACAGTAGTATACGCAAATATGTGAGATGGTTTGTTGGTCTATTTGTGGGGAAAAGTTCGAAAAAGTTTTTTTCATGTTATTTACGTAGGCTTGTTTTGTTTTACAGTGAACTCCGACTTGAAAAGATAGTGCTACAGTTTAGTAAAAGAAGTTGATTTTAGTTGTTATCGCCTTATTTAAACTGATTAGGGCAGGTCACATGACCAAACGGGAAGCTCGGAATGGTCACACGATCTATTTAAAAATTCGAATACAAACGATCGTTTTTCTTAGGGGTGCTAGCAGTTTAGTGATTTCTGTACAGTAATGACTTGCTCATCAACTTAGTTTAGAGGTAGAATCCTTCGAAAATTCAAGGCAAAGAATGGTACTTGGGCGCTACCGTTGAGACACAGACACATTTCTCAGTCACATTTCTCACTAAAGAAAAGTGATTTTCAAACGTATTATGTGAAATTCGTACCGCAATCATAACGAAAATATAGTCAGAGTGATCCCATTTCCTCTAAACGGACATTTTTTTCGCGCTTTCCAGGAAATATGTACAAATTTCAACATTTTTCACCTCAGAATTAACAAAAAAGGAATGAATTTTAATTAATCTTTTACTGTCATTTAGGTGAGAAATGCTTAAAGAGCCCCATAACGTGCTTATTGTGTACAAGAAACGAAGGGAAAAGAAACTTAAGACAATGATAAGTTTTACCAAGAGTGTATTTTAAAGAATAGAGCTCCCTGTAAGTTGCATTTCATACAAGACGGCCCATAAAACAAGTGAGAAATCATGATGCGCGAACTGTTCAGAGCAACTGTCACGCAATTCCTTGTTTCCTAAAAGTAACTTACAGAAGAATTCTAGCGACATCAAAGTTTCTTTAGGGCTACGAGGTTGCCCCCAGGCAGAGTAACAACTGACAAAGTCATGGGAAATACAATAAAAAGTGAGGACTTCTGTAACAGTGCACTCTAAGTTAATATTTTGTTCGGTGACCTCTAGACATAAGTACAGTTTCAATTCTGTGAGTTACACTTGATATGAGACTATCGATATCCTCTGGATAGAAAATAATCAATCATCAAACGCTCCTAAACTTATGCATTAAGCTGTTTAAATGAATCCTTTGTAAAAATCTGTGTTACAGCCTCTTCATCTAAGTAACATTTGATCAGGCTATCTAAATTTTCTATGCAAATAATGGACGCATATCAGTCTCAGTATATCCTCTAGGGCCTAGCTTCTTCGCACGCTTGCTTGTTTGGGTCGTTGTCCATTAAAAAGAGTTTTCTTCCGTTTCTTTTCGGCCTTGCCCGACCAAACGCTATATTAAAATGGTTCCTTATTCAACTGAGCGAAGAAATTGCCGTTCATTTTCTCATAAGTTACAGTTAGTGTTACCCCTTTTCTACAAGCGATGGCTTCACCCAAGTCCTTAGAACCTTAGTATCACCTAATAAAAACGAAAAGCCTTCTCCCTTCTGTCGCCATATCAGTGATTTTTTTTTTACGTTTTGTTGTATTTGTGGACGATGGACACGGCATCTAAATAAAAGGCCACTTCGATTCATTCGTCCAAATCGGAGGGTTTTCCGCAACTGGACGTTTCAGGTTTTTGCGAGCGCCGAATCGTACACGCAACTTGCGATTATTTTCACTAAGAAGCCCATTTTTCTCTGCTTGTAAATATGCGTAACCATTTTCGTGTGGATGATGTAGAAATGTTTTGTACTTGCCATTTCAAACCTAAACCCACGATACTTTTTGCTGTAATGTTTTCACAGTTTGCCCTTGAGTACGTTGAGGATACTTAACAAGCATGCATTCGAAACCGTTCATCTATGCGCCTCCGATCTCGGAATAAATAGTACAAGGTAACACCTGGTAACTTTTTTAAGATTGCTATACCTATAAATCCACAACTTTTCTCTAAGTTTCGTTATGTTTAAAACTCGTTTTCCTATATATAGAAGGGGTTTTCAGACAACCCTGGTCAAAACTCTTGGGACACTAACGAAATAGCTCGTCAAATTGAGGCATCTTCCCTTTCCCCTTCCCCCTCGGTGCAGTGTTGACGTTATATATTCAAGTTTTAATTCAACACAATCAAAACTTACTGCTTGGGGGAGAGGGGGGGGGAGCAGAAATAGCCCCTTATAGCAACATCCCCAAGCGTTTTTAAGAGGTAGAATATGAGTTTATTTAGCAAATTAAGTGCGTCTTTGTGCCTAATTTCCTCAAGTGTCCCAAGACGTTTTGACCAGGGTTGTAGGTCAACTTATATAACCCTTAAAATAATGTAATATAGGAAACTATTTCAGGTTCTAATAAATAATGATTTAAGTTAAAAAACGACGGAAGAAAAAGTGGAAATGAATAAAAATAGATGTTTCACTAGTATTGAGCGAGATGCCAATGCAAAAGTGCGTTTTTAAACGTTTTTTAGTTGGCTTATCTCTGACCGGTTGTTAAGTTAGTCCGAGGTACAGATAAAGCTTTTTGATCAGAAGAGGCATTACGGGCATTATAATTATTTACCTCAACTGCTAGTGAAACAGATAAATTAGGAAACGTTTCATGATACTTGAATAATCATAAAAAAGTAAGCATGTTTTCAGTTTAACAATATCAGGAAATTTAAAAAAGCCTATAAGGACACGAAGTGTGGATTTATTGATCCCATTATAAAGGAGCATCATTGATAATACGAACCGCTTTTTGCTTTGAAATTTTACAATTTGAGAAAGAGGAGCATTATAATTATTTCCCCACAGTATACAAACATAAGTAAGATAAGGATACATAAGAGAATAGTACAGACTAATAAGTGTTGCAGTTGAAACGTAATGCTTTAACTTAACCCGTTATATTTACATTTTTGCAAATTTTTCTACCTATGTAGTCAATAAGGTCATGCCAGTTAAGGTGTCAATCAATTATACACACCGAGATATTTGACACAACCAGAAGATTTTTCTAAACAGACTTTTTCAAAAGTTAATAGTAAAAAGAAGCTGTAATTTTCCTTTTGGCCGGATGCATAAAAATAAGGTGCTTAGTTTTTAGTCAAATTTAAGGTCAGCCTATTACTACATAACCATTCGTAGACAACTGGTAAGTGATTATTAATATCACATAGTAAGCTGTCAAGATCGCTTTCAGAAGCTGTCAAAGATGAATCATCTGCATATAATCTAGTAGAGAAATACGTACAATACTTGGGAAAATCATTAATGATAAATAACAATGGTCCTAGCATTGATCCTTGAGGTACACCAGTAGCACAAGAGATTTACGAGTTATGGTTCTTACTTGACCCCTTAAAATTACTTCAACGGCAATGGAAAAAGCGGATTGTGTGAATGGACTAACTTTGCGAGAAATCGTCGATTATAGAAAATCGTTAAATGATACGGACGTTTACTGTAAGAATTAGAACCTAAACTAACATTTTTTTTCTTCAGTTTTATGTTAAATAGCCGTGAATTACAGATTATAAGGCCCACTTGCTGCTACTACATACCAGTCTCACACGATTTCCCAGAGTACCCTGGCGCGCAGTGACACCTATAGTCATTCACTTGGTCAGAGCATGTCGCATTGTTGAGACAAGGGTTACTAGCACATTCGTCTATGTCTGAGGAAAGAAAAGATTTGAACAGCTAGAAATAGTAAAAGCTACAAGTACCACCGCTGATAAGAGCCAAGGCGAGCGTGATGAATGTTCGCTGACATCCCTGCAGGACTCATGTTTTGAGATGTTTAAGGTCTCTATATATTTAAGCAATAGACCACACCTTCTATGGGTTTACCGGTGTGATAACCCACTTGGGATGTTGGGAGAACAAGCTTTTCGAGTGTTCTCCCAACATCCCAAGTGGGTTATCACGCCGGTAAACCCATATAAAGTGTGGTCTATGGCTTTTATAAAATAGCTTTAAGTTTCCTATCAAATTACCGGCACAATGAACGATAGGTTTTTAGCCAATCAGAACGCGCGTACCATTTTTAGTTAGTTGTTATAGTCAATGAGACTAGTAATATAAATGTTATAGGTCAAAATTAAATTCAGGTTAGAATTTTTTACCCTTGGTTGATTCTCAATTTTCTTCGTCTCTTAACCCTGATTATTCATGAATTAGGGCTAGGGCAAATTGAGAATCAACCTAGGTTAATATTACAGACACAAACGTACTTATCTCACAGTCCGTGCCGTTGAATCCAGCAGTGCAGTTACATTGGTAGTCTCGGATCTTTTCCCAGCAAGTTCCATTGTTTTGGCAGGGAATACTTTCGCACTCATTTCCATCTGAAACGTAAATGTTCCATAAATCATGGCTTACAGAGGAACAAGGAATCCGAACCAAGTATGGATCTCATGGTAGTTTATCATGAAGAAGGAAGATTTATCACCATGTACTCATCGTTTTCATTTCTTCGATGCAATCAGAATTGTTTACATAATTGCTTGTAAAGTAAGAGATAACATTATCTCACACTGAATTATCATAACTTTACCAGCCTTACCGTCAATTTATTTTCATGGAGAATCGGGACGACTCGGCGGGAACGGCGCGCGACCGAACCCAGTTGCACTTTTAAAAAAAAAAAGAGTAACTTGCATCTCCTATTAACAAGAGTATCATTATAACATTTCTTGCAAGAATAAAACTAACATACACTTACCTGCGATGCAGCCGTAAAGTTCAAGTCGAATAGCAAAGTTGTTCTCCCACTCAGTCGGAATCACGTGGATAGAAGTAAGCATCGCTGGCAGTGGAACATAGTGCAGGACAATAGTGTTGTTATCGTCGTTACCATTAAATTGCTGAAAATAAATGTGTGTAAGTAAGCATCTGTAAAACCGTCATGAATTAAACATTGTGTACATTATAAATGAGCCAGCAAGGTGCTGGCGGCATGACTGCTCTGGAATCTGATCAGGTTTCGGATTCTCTCTGTATATTGAAATTACAATCAAATTAACAGACTGCAGTTGTTAGATACTTTATGGCCACTGAGGATGGTAACAAAATTTGTAGCTGTATCTTGCTTTTGACCTGACTGTGGATAAGAAAGCGAGTCCACATTCGCATCCAACCCTTTCTCGGCTTTTATTAAAAGAATATTGTCCATTTACCTTAGTGGTGATTCTGTTTCTCTCCTTAAAGAAGTGTGTATTGGATCCAAATGTATATCCTAAATTGTATCCTTTGGTCCACTCTTGTATATTTTCACCATAGTAACCTTGAGTCGCAATTCCTGTAACGATCATAGCTTTGCGAAAGTTAACCGTAAGTGCGGGACTATTTTGGGAACCAGGCTGTGCTCGGTAGCCACCTGTGCGGTTTAGTCTCGCGCGACCAGGTCCGTACAGTGTCTAAATTGAATTTGGTGCCCTTTCAGTTTTGTTGTAGCGCACCACCTCCATTTCCAAGGGGTCGTAGGAAACTAAAAGAAAATTTAACAGTAAAAAATGGTTGGTGGGGGGGATAAACCCCCAAAACCAGTTTTCCCAAAGAAAAGACAAAAAGCCAACCTTTAAAAAAACCTTTAAAATGGGGGCCCTCCCCCCCCCCCCCCCCCAACCCTACTCCGGTTAACGTTCTCATTCCCAAGATCACCGTTATTAATTCACAGATTCCTTTGAAACTACGACCAGAGGGGACCACATCATAACAGTTTGTTCACTGACCCATACACACCATGAAGTAAGATGAAAGCGGTGCGTTTGATAAAATCAATCAATGTTAAATAGTATTTCAAATGTACGAGCCGGGGCGTATTCCTTATAATGGCCTTTACTGGGAGGCTCCCACGGAATTCAGGCTTCAGGTATGAAAGGGTAAGGATTTCAGTATTTGAAGTATATGAAAGGGTAGGGAAATCTGTTATTTCTGTCTGTAAAATAGCCCAAAAAGGTCAAACAGATGCATTTTATGGCTGGGAAAAAGTCGCAAAAACGTTCTGGTTCTGTGATTTATTCATATTTAAAAGACAGTCCATTAATAGCAGTTAAAAGGGATGTGCAAACGTCTATACTAGGTGTGTAAAAGAGATACCTTTTTTAAATGGAAAGTATACAAAAAGGGGTATCTTTTCTGTCAAAAATGTCATTTAAAAGGGTAAGGGGTTGGACCTTGGGTAGAGCCTCCCCGTATAAAACTTTTTTGTTCACCCCCAGGGTGAAAGAGTTACCGTTGTCTAATAGTACCAAATGAATAGAAACAACAGCTGAATCGTAAATAACAAGAAACGCTACTTTCGAGCCTTTCGGTTAAAAGGGGAATGTTCGAGAACGTCTTCAAAGATTTGACTGGGAGCCTTTGTTAAAACAAAGTGTTGTTAAATATGATAAAACAGTTACGGGCATCAAAGAAGAAGACTGTTGTTTATTACATCACCGGCTATACAAAAGGAAATTGTTGGTTGAACTTATCACTTGGATCACTTTGCTTTTCCATTGTTTTTTGGGTATGGTGATGTAATGCTTATGAATTTAAAACAAAGGAACAATAAAAAATTAACAAAAAAATTAAAAATTAACTACGAAAGATGAAACTGAGTGCATAAAGTGATTTTGAGCAGTTGTAAATATAACGTTAAGTAAATCCAAAAATCGACAAAAACATGTCTTAAGATAATATGAATTACTGACTCCATTGCGATTTCATTTTCGAGGCACCAGTCTACAACAATCAGAAGATGTGAACTGAGCCTCAAAACAAAAGGAATGATCAACTGAGATAAATCAACGTTAGACTAACATCAAGGCTTGCGAAAGACCACTAACCTCCACAAAATACTCCATAAAGTTTCATTACGATGATGCACGACATGAAGTAGAAGAGAAAGTAATTTGCTGTCTTGGAATACATTGCACAACATCATCCACAATGGAGCTCGTCTTTTTGTAGAAAATGTTTTCTTTACTATTTGTGCAGTCTGACAAATCTGTATCACTCCGGCCGAGAGGGCTAGTTGTACTTGTTGATGAAGATGCGAGTTTAAAGTAATAGAAAAGAGGACGGCGCCTTTGAAAATACTTAAGCCACAGTGTGTTGAACAGCTTCTTATCAATATCGATTTAAATTTAATTTACGCATACTTAGGTAGTTAAGGTGATTTCTGGTCCAGCATAAAGCTTCTTGTATGACTTTCATGACCTTTGAATTTTTAAATGAAAAGCTCTGATGTCATTGACAAAAAGGATCAACATGTCAAAAAATAAGTATTATTATGCATACTTGAAGTAACCATGACATTAGCAAATAATGCGCAAGACATGTCATAGTAAAGTTTCAAGAGAACTTGACATCAGCTTCGAACTTAAACAGTGTAAATGGCTATCCGCTATTTGCGGAAATTGTTTATGGCACAAGTAATAATGCACTTTTTCTTTTCTTTTTATCTCCCCTGACTATCGGGCATAAAATAGAGTTGACGCTAAACTCTAATAACAGATTGATTCATATTAATTACGATCGTCTATCAATGAAAGCTGCTGTTATAATCAGTGATAGCTCCAGTCCGTCCTTGTCAGCAGTCTTCAATACGCGATTTCCCATTATTTTATTTAACGTCAAATATCGTGCAAAAAGGGAAAGAAAACTAAACTGAGCTGCACTTAACAACTTGACCATGTTTGTTCAAGTTTGCATTCGTCGCATACAATATCTCCACAAATTATTATAATTACTAATCATAGGAATGATCTGTGACGTAACCATTGTTCATACAAGCCCGCCCATACCCCCAACAGTGGTGTAAGGGCCTGTTTACATGAAGGTGGGGGACCCCAGATAGGTGACGTAACCCGTTTAGGAGGGGTAAAAAAATAACCCTCCTTCTACATGCAATCTTACAACCAGCCATCACGGGGTACACTTTCTGAATGGTCGCTAAGCACGTAAACAAGAAAAATGCTGGCAAGCCACGTTTTTTTGTGATTAATGCTCTTCTACACTCACTTGCTGCTCTTGCTGCAAGCTTCAGTGCTGTGGCATTCTATTGTTATCTTTAATAATGATGCAAAGCCACCGCAAAAGTGAATTTAGCGCGAATTCAGTATCGCGAGTCCGACTCCGGCTAGGCGGGTTACCCCACTTTGAAACGTTTACATGGCAAAATTTGACCCCGGCTGAGAGGGTTACCCGGTCTGGCAGACCGGGATACCCGCCTTGGCGGCTCACCCCACCTATCATGTAAACGTGATCAAATTAAAATGAGAGATTATATGGACAGGCGGGCTACCCCACCTTAGCGGGTTACCTCACCTACCTGGGGTCCCCCACCTCCATGTAAACAGGCCCCAAGGCAGGAGAACGTGCAACCACCAAAATAAGAAGAATAAAAGAAGAAAATAAGAAGATAAGAAGATAAAAGACAGCCTGTAATAAGCTCTACAAGATGATATAAACAATGTCATAGTAATATAGCCTTCGCTACTGGGCACCAGTGGCATCATTGAAAATGGCCACCCGTTATTTTGACCATGGACTCAAGCTTACCATTTTCAAGCTCTTGATGTCAAACATTTTAGAATTAAAAATTCTGCTGCTTGTGGTACTGATTTGTTCGTTTATTTGGCTTGCGCTCATTTTACAGAAAATTTTCGGAAAATATCTGTTCGGAAGACAATTTGAGATCTAGAATTTTCAGAACATTTGTAATTTTCGAAAAGGTAAGTTTTGATCCCTATAATTTTCGGATCACTAGACTTTCAGCTAGGAAATCCGAGCAGATGAAAAATTTTTAGGGGATAAAAATATGGCTATATCTACCGTTTAAATACTAAAATACGTTTAACAGTGCTTTGTTTAAGTGGTTTTGAACTATATTCTCGTCATTGAGTGCCCCTGATTTTACTCATGACCTTGAGGCTCGTAATTACAGCAAATGGCCTTCACTAGATTTTGCTGAAATATTTCCAAGGAACAAATGAACAACAACTACTGAAAAGACGACGCTCTGACGTAAAATCATGGCTAGTCTACCCCTACTAATGATGGCATGCAAAATCGAACGGAGGTGGAGCCAAACTATGGCTTTTAAGTCCGAGAGAAAATATAAGTTATGATCATTTATATCTTCTTTTAAAGTGACATAGGTGTTGGGAGAAATTATAGTGAATAAAAGAGGGCGATAGTATGACTAACTTACTTAATTAAGTCATGATAGAAACAAAGAAGTCAATATGGAAATATAACTATTCCTGTGAAATGAATGAAATTCTTGACCGGTCAAATTGCAACGACTGATTGCGGCTTTCTGGAGACGAATCCAGTGGAAAACCATATACTATCAATTAATAACAGGACGTTTCGGTGTATTTAGCCAGTTAAGTTTTAATGTTTGACAAATGTCGAATTTCTTGGACTTATACCAAGTTAATCGCTGCCAAATATTGTTAAATATATTACTTCTTAAATTAACAAATATATTTCATGAAAGAACACTAAATCACAATTTGGGAACAGCCACAAATAGCACTGACCACTCGTTTACACAAATTCTGTTATAGGAATCCTGTCGCTTACAGCGTTTAACGTTTTTCGTCGGTAAAACATGACTGTGGCTTTAATAGGAGTCTGTACGAGACGAAAAGTGAAAAAATTTCGAGAAGGCAATTATTATCTACTTAAATCTCGAAAATTACAGTTAGACAACTATTAACTGTATAAGTCGGACGATGATAGACCATGATAGTGAACTGTAATACTATAACTTTAATTAGAAAAAACAAGCTAAACAGACAAGACTTTCACTAATCAAGAAAAATACTTTCAGATATATTTCATGTTCTTACCGACTATTAATTTTTCGCGATTCTAAAAAATCGAAAAGTAATAATCCTGGTGAAATATAATATCCATGAAGAAAATTCAAATCACAGAAAAAAATAACTGACATCAACAAAACATAAAGCCTTATGTTCTCAGTCTTGGTAACATGTAATAACTAAAACATATAAAGGATATGCACCACAATTAACTGGTTGTATCTATGAAATAACAATAATACGCTTAAAAGTCGTAGGAAATTTACGTTTCTGAGCACAGATTTTTCCTTATGAAGTAATTTATGAGGCGGCATATTAATTTGTTACTTACTGATTGCATCGTACCGCATATTGTTAATTCCATATGGAAATTTTCTATGAAAAGGTGACCTCTTAGAAATGCGTAGCTCCCGGACTTTCATTTTATTACAAAAGATATGTGGGTTAAGTGCCCGTAATTAGTTTTACTTCAGACACTGCAATTCTGAAAAATCCAAGTAGTGCAGTCCAAAGTTGGGTTTAAACATGATCAAAAAACGAATGAAAAGAACAAAACATTTTGATATTAAAACAGCATAAAATATAATTATTTAATTTAT